GTTTTTATTGCAGCTTTAAGGCCAGACTGTGCATATATGTAAATGTAATGGCTGTTGAATGCCTAGTTATTTTTTAAAAAGATATAACGTTACTATAGAAGTCTATGGGAAAACATTTGGTTGTGTGTAGCCTAAAGAGACCTGCCGCAGAACAAATTATACCCTTGACAGCACATCCATCGCTCTCAGTAACAAGATGTATAAAATATCCACAACAATATAATAGCATGGCTTTATTGTTTTTGTGTTTGGAACTCCTAGATTATCTTTGTTTCAAGATACAGATTCAGATATGCTTGCCTGAATGTTTTGCTCACTTGTACAGAGAATTTAGAAGCCTCGACACTGATTGGTCAAGTACAAAGTTCACCTAAAACGACCTATGGAGGTGACCTCAGATCTTCATACAGCGAGGTATTGTATCGGAGTCAAACATTTGATTTTAATAAGATTGTTCAGTTTACTGAATGTACATTAAACTTGACGGAATCAGAATGACAAAAACATGTTGGACAAACGACTAAAATACACACATGAGACATATGAGAGGTCAACCAAAATAGATATAACATCATCTACACACGAAGCAAATAAATAACATGAGTGTTGATATAATTCTGTAGCACCACAACATCAAAACACCCCTCCCTGCCTTTTATAGACATTAATACTGACCGGGTCAGAGCTGTATAATGGAAAGTTAACAAAACACCTGCCCAAAGTGTCCGGGAATGTAATGTAAACAATTTCTGCATAGCTGGACAGAATAGGTTGAAGGGTATTTGATGGGATGAGTATACATGGTGCCACGCCCACCCACACAGTGCCACACCCAGCCTCACGGGCCTGTACATACACAAAGAAGAGAAAACAAAGGGTCCCTGGTCCGGTTTCACTATGTTCTTGACTCTCCAGCGTATTATATCACCATTGTATTGAGAACAATATTGGCCACCAAAGGCCTGTTTCAGAGTGAGTGAGTTGGGTTTAATGCCGCTTTTAACAGTATTCCAGTTATATCACAGCTTAATGCAGAAGTAAATCCTGAGTATAGTGCTTACAAACATAGAAACATAATCGGGACGAACCAGAATTTGAACCCACAATCACAGGTTTCTGGCATGGCCAAGGGACGCAGTTCTGCACAGTGAATTTTTCTTGCTTATTATTGCAATCTGATCGGTTGACAATTTTTAAAGGTGTGTATTCAAATACAGTTCAAACTGAATCCTCGATTATTCAGAGAATGATATTTCCATTCTATTATGATAAATATCCTCTCTACTAAAGGTTTGCTTTTAATCGTTCAATACATGAATTCAAATGATTTGTTTGATTCATAGATGTCAGTATCCATGATTAAAAGACATAATGTTTTTTTTAAGAGTACTGACATTTCATACCATTTACATATACATATTACAGGTGCTACATTGGATCACAGTTCTGCCACTTTGAAAAGCTGAGCAGTAAACAACTGAAAATTGGCGGGTTTATGCAAGCTGGCAACAACATGTCCGGCATCCCCCTCCTGACAAATCCTACTTGGAGTCACCTGTGGTCAGAAACACTGATGGAGGAGGGGATTGCTTGCTCATCAGCATCAGCATCATTGTCGTCGTCAACAACATCGGTCAGGCTTTGGGTTCAATAAGTCACTGATGACATGCTGTGAGAATGGCAACTCATCAACAGGGTGATATCACTATTATATCCCTCCTGGTTGGAAAGTCTTTTTACACATGGCAGGGTAATTTAGAACGTTGGTATTCAGGTTTTGACAGTGACATCCTCATGTCACTAGAGATGAAGAGCATAGGGTTTTGCACAATAAAGATTGCCATATGTATGCACCACTCGTTTTGAATTATCTCAAACTCTGGCTTGAGTCAATGACTTTTAAATCCCTGGGTCGGTTTGTCCATGATGCGTGCACTCACTTGAGTTAGGTCTACATTGTGGAATTAATGTTTAAACAAAAGGATAATTAAAAAGATTCTTGCTTTCCTGATCCTGCTGTCCTTGATATAAGACTGACTGCTGGAGATTCAGACTGAGTTGAACACTTATGGGTTAAGTTGGGTGTAAATAAGATTAGGGTTAGACACTTTACATGAAGGCAAAAATGTACACGAGTTTGTCAATACTCATCTTCCCGAGGCAAGGGAGTTAACTGACTTCAAAGTTGTTTTCACCCTTGCCGAACTAGGCTGGAATTTCGTGGCTTGATTGTAGCACCATCAGAGGCTATTTTGAGTTATGTCCCTTCTTTGTCCCTCCTACTGACCAATCAGATTCCACCTTTCATATTACTTGTATATGCTTTTCACAAAATGACGGCGCCCAGTCAAGATGATTTGATCAATAATCTATATTTTTATAACATTCTTTTTTGTTACAAAACAGGTTATACCTCTCAAAGTGCATAAAATTACTTGAGCACCTTGATTGAAAACATGAAAATATTTGGATATCTGTCGATGCTCAGTTGAGGTACACATGCTTTTCAAATCCTGCAATCGACCTAAATCTGCAGTGCAGTTTACAAACCGGATGTCGATTTTGTAATGCGATTTTGATTGGACAATGCATAGACTCGCTCGTTTAGCAAAAAGATTACATAACTTGGAAATTCTATGAAATTCTAGTCTAGTTCAGCAAGGGTGGAAACTAGACTTCTATATTAGTTAACTCCCTTGCCTCAGGAAGATGGTCAACACTACCACTACTACGATTTGGTTGGATTCATGTCATTGGTGGCCATGTTATTCATCTTATGTTCAAAAACAGGTGCTTGGTGGGTAGGGTGCGGTGTGTGTTGTGGTGTCGAACTCCATGACCCCCCTCCTCCCTGGTCCGCCCTGTGGAGGGACATGTGGAAATCATATGAGTGAGTGAGTGAGTGAGTGAGTGAGTGAGTGAGTGAGTGAGTGAGTGAGTGAGTGAGTGAGTGAGTGAGTGAGCGAGCATGGTTTTACACCGCTTTAGCAATATTCAAGCAATATCACAGCAGGGGGACACCAGAAATGGGCTTCACACATTGTACCCATTTCTGGAATCGAACCCCAGGTCTTCGGCGTGACAAGCAAAAGCTTTAAACCACTAGGCTACCCGACCGCCCTAGGAATCACCTGAAGCAACCCACTGGCTTATATGTCTCCATGTAATTAACCAAAACTTTACTATGTGGAAACTGATGTTAAAGTAGATTACATCTTGCAAAGACATATCTGATGGTTCCATGTTTGTAAAAGCCTTAAACCAAAGTCAAGACTACTAATCAAACAAAACAGTTCAGCAAATTTGTATGCGACACATATTCCACTGACAAAATGTTTTGCGATCAACAATATATTGTTACTATTATCAGAATGGTGTTACATTCGTATAATATAAATTAATCAGGGATTTATCAAACTATGTGTCTGTGGCAGAAGTTTTTTTTGTTTTATTTAATAGGTATTCTCAATTTTTTGTTAAATAGAATTGGGATATCTTTAATGCCAATTTGGGAATTTTACAGATGCTACAGTAGTGGGGTCTAATATTGGCCTCTTAGAATGTCCAGATAATTGTCAATCATTATCAACATTTCGTTTGCATTTCCACTAACGTAAATCTCAGTCTTGCGGCTTGAGAAAACCCTGGCGTCATCACTGCTGGTTGCAGCAGGCACCTGGTCACAACAGTACAGTCTCATCAGTCACAAGGGGTGACAGGGGAGTAACACGCTAATTGACCAATCATAGCCTGTCATTCATGCTGTATTGATTAGTGGTATCACACAGTCAACACACCAACAAAGACTGGTCCAGCAGATCTGACAACACTTCAATCACTGAATGTCAAGAATATAGAGTACAAATTAACTAAATAATTACTTTATGATGTTGTGATGTTTGTGTTAGTTGTCTAACACTGCAATCAGCAATATTCCAGCTATGTGACTGCGGCCAGTAAATAATTAAATTTGGACCACACAATCCAGTGTTTGTTTGTTTCTTGTTTCATGCCATACTCAGCCATATTTCCAGCTATTTGATGGTAGACTGTAAATAATTGAATCTGGACCACACAATCCAGTGTTTGTTTGTTTCTTGTTTAACGCCACACTCAATAATATTCCAGCGTTGTGACGGCGACCTGTAAATAATCAAATCTGGACCAGACAATGAAGTGTTTGTTGTTTAACGCCGCACTCAGCAATATTCCAGCTACATGATGGCCATCTGTAAACAATCCAGTGGTTGACATAATGAGCATCGATCCACGCAATTGGGATACGATGACATGCATCAACCACGTCAGCGAGCCTGACACCCGATCGCGTTAGTCGCCTCTTACGACAAGCATAGTTACCTTTTGCGGCAAGCATGGGTTGCTGAAGACCTATTCTACCCTGGACAATCCAGTGATTGATATTGTGAGCATCCAATCAACCAAGTTACCAACTTAACAACCATTTTCTTTAAGTTGCTTCTTACGACCAGCATAGGTTGCTGGGGACTAATTCAAATCTGGAAACTGCCAGACCTGGTGGACCGGCAACTCAAAAAATTACCAGTCCCTCCCCTAATTTTTATCATTTCCAACTAAAAATAGACAAAGGGATGGTAACCCTAATGGTCACAGACAAGCTGTCGTAAAATATACTCATATGAATATTGCAATATTGTTCAACAACAAAGATTTATAAGGTAATTTATTTGCCGGTCCACAGGGACTGGCAGTCACATGAATCACCGGTCCAAGGCTAATTTTACCAGTACAAAACTGGTAATTTGCGGTAAACAGGAACACAAGATCTGTCATAAAGCACAGTAACATGTCAGCAAGATTTCACAAATTGTCGATTAAAAACTGACCATTACGGATACTAAAACACCTTTAAATCAACACATACATCAATATTAAGCTGAGAATTTCATGCAACAATGTTTCAAATTTGAGGAACAGGTATTGTGATATGCATCAATGAGGTAAGCATATATAGGTCTTACCAATATCGTCAAATCCCAGCTGTCTGCGCCAGAGTTCTTGGCGTGATGGTGATGGGACAGGTTTGTTGCCAACAAGACGGGGGCTGTATGTCATCGGAGTTCGGAATACAGGTTCCTGCTTCTACGAAGAGAACAAAATTAAAATTAAGTTTGTAAAATGAGGGAAATGATCTAAACACTGTTCGAATATTATTTCAGCCATATGATGGCATGTCACCTTATCATATAAATCTTTGTTATTGTTTTGTTCCAATGATAATCAACCTGCGAAGATCCGGGGTAGAATAGGTCTTCAGCAACCCATTCTTGCCGTAAAAGGCGACTACGTTTGTAGTAAAAGGCGACTAACGGAATCGGGTGGTCAGGCTCGCTGACTTGGTTGATGCATGTCATCGATCCCAATTGCGTGGATCGATGTTCATGATGTCAATCACTGGATTGTCTGGTCCAGACTCGATTATTTACAGACTGCCGTCATATAGCCGGAATATTGCTGAGTGTGACATTAAACAGCAAACCAACCAACCAACCAACCCAATGATAATAATCTGATATAATTATAACTGTTTCAGGTGAAGTGCTGTAAAATCTCTTTTCCACTTTCACATAGCTTAGAAGAGTTATCTCCCTTTCCCTGTTTCGGACCTCATTGTTTCCTTGAGGTAGTTACCGAACACTAAACACAAATATAGTTTTGAAGAGAGACATTTAAAAACAATGATAAGTGCTTCATTTAGAATATCAACTTTATAGAATGGTAAAAAAGATAACCCTTTGCTTGTTGACAGAGGTGTTTAAATGGATTGGGTGGTAAAGCGGGTGGCTTTGTCGGTTACGTATCAATGTCATCGAAAGATAGAAAGTATCACTATTGACAGTTAGTGGTGGGACGATACACTGATGCATCGGTGGATCGCGATTTTTTACTTCTCGATACAAGTATTGATCACAGTCGACACTTAGTAAAAACATTTCGATTCTGACCTTAAATGTTTGCTTAAATAACTGTTCCACTAGACACTAATCAGTAGTGCAAGTTAATAGTAAAAGCATACATATTTTCATTTGTTGTGCTTCACACTGCCAACTGTAAATCATCAGTGTTTCCGGTCTGTGGCCGTCCTCTCTATTAACAAGATTGCTTAATGCACCACAGAAAAGAGCACATGCAAGGGCTGTGATACATATCTGATCGTGAGGAAGGCATCTTGATACGTATCTGATCGTGAGGAAGGCATCTTGATACGTATCAAATTGTGAGGAAGGCATCCTGATACGTATCTGATCGTGAGGAAGGCATCTTGATACGTATCAAATTGTGAGCAAGGCATCCTGATACGTATCTGATCGTGAGGAAGGCATCTTGATACGTATCAAATTGTGAGCAAGGCATCCTGATACGTATCTGATCGTGAGGAAGGCATCTTGATACGTATCTGATCGTGAGCAAGGCATCCTGATACGTATCTGATCGTGAGCAAGGCATCCTGATACGTATCTGATCGCAAGCAAGGCATCCTGATACGTATCGGATCATGAGCAAGAGGCATCCTGATACGTATCGGATCGTGAGCAAGGCATCCTGATACGTATCTGATCTCAAGCAAGGCATCCTGATACGTATCTGATCTCAAGCAAGGCATCCTGATACGTATCTGATTGTGAGCAAGGCATCCTGATACGAATCTAATCGTGAGCAATGCATCCTGATATGTATCTGATTGTGAGCAAGGCATCCTGATACGTATCTGATCGTGAGCAAGGCATCCTGATACTTATCTGATCGTGAGCAAGGCATCCTGATACGTATCGGATCGTGAGCAAGGCATCCTGAAACGTATCTGATCGCAAGCAAGGCATCCTGATACGTATCTGATCGCAAGAAAGGCATACTGATACGTATCTGATCGTGAGCAAGGCATACTGATACGTATCTGATCGTGAGCAAGGCATCCTGATACGTATCTGATCGTGAGCAAGGCATCCTGATACGTATCGGATCGTGAGCAAGGCATCCTGATATGTATCGGATCATGAGCAAGGCATCCTGATACGTATCGGATCGGTGGTGTATTGTCCCAGCCCTAATGTTAACCATACTATTGATGATGGACCCACTTGCTAGTGATAGACACACTTAGGTGATGATAGATACACTTACTTGATTACAGACCCATTAAGAGCTTTGTCTTTTTCATGACTTAATGTAAGCTGCAGGTCAATCTCATTAAAATCAGACCTTAGTTCTCGCTACTGCTAAACAAAGATCTGAACACATCCCATTAGGGGTCACGTCAGAACGACCTTTCATCCGACCAATGAGTCCGTCACTTACCAGATCATGAAAGTGACAGTTGGAATGTGATTTCTTATCATACAACCTCGAAAACTTTAAAACGGGGTAATCCGAACGATAGTTACAGGTTTTAGGACTGAATCCATACAATCTAGACCATCTATTAGCCATTCCAGAATGATTTTTTGTTTAGGTTTCAAATTTGTAATCAAGAATTTGTCAAAATATGTTTCAAACCGTAGTTGCCAATTTGAAATTAGTGCCATAAAGCACGAGAAAGCTGCCTTCTGATTGGTCATTCTATTGGTCGGTCAAAGTTCGCGCAAGGTCGGTCTGACGTGACCCGTAATGGGATGTCCTCAGATCTTTGTTTAGAGAACTAAGGTCTGATTTTATTGAGATTGGCTAAAGGTACCAGTAATGTGCACAAGTCATAGTTCCCTTTAGCTATATAAAACATGCACAAGTGCTACCATTTTAGTAAAACTGCAGGCTAATATTTATGTCTACATGCACTAAGTGCATGTCAAAATTTTTGCTCTCTGACTTACCCTTACTTGTCCAAACAAAATTAATGTTTGAACAAACTCAGTACCCCTAAGTTTTATTTACCACACTACACCCCTAGTCCCTGTGTTGAGTGTTATCTGTCATGCTTTCTTAGGCTTGACATCATCAAACTGTCTGTACTTCAAGGTTATGTGTGTTCGTATTTCGTTTTACAGCAATGTGTCATTAATTTGAGACACTAGCAGCAGACCGGCCTATGTTTCAACTTTGATAAATTTATGGGACCAGGGTGCAACCTGGTTTAGTCTGGTGCAACTAGGTTTTCATGTCAACATGCACCTGGTGCAAGTAAAATCAAGTTTTTTCCATCAAGCCCTGTCGCGTATTTTTCATGAAAAGTTTGGTCTGATCAACAGAATAAAATATACTAAATGACAATTAGTCAGAACCATTTGAATCTTTCATACACTCCAGTTAACTGTATTTACACTCCAGCTGCTGGTGAGTATGGTTTTATGCTGCTTTTTACAATATTCCAGCAATATCACGACGGGGGACACCCGAAATGAGCTTCACACAATGTACCCATGTCGGGAATTGAACCAGGGTCTTAGGCGTGATGAGCGAACGCTTTTACCACTTGGCTACCCTACCGCCCCCTAGCTGCTGGTCTACCACTAATGTTGGAGCACAGTTGTCATGGTTACATATATTTACCTTCATTTTTGGTGTGCTGGACAGCATGTTTGTTCAGTAATATCACAGACAGCCTTGGGGAATCACAGATGGTCACACGGTCACAGAAAGACTGGTAGGGTAGTGGATGAGTATCACAGATTCACTGAAAGCAATGCATGAAAGAAACATTACCTTTGGTGTTCCCTTTGATGTTGTTTGTTTGTTTGCTAATAGTACTGTCAGCAATATTCCAGGTTTTTAACGGCAGTCTGTAAACAACCGAGGCTGGGCTAAATAGCCAGGGGTAATCTCAGCGAATCCTGATAGCTAAGGGACACTACTCTGCAGAGAGGTGTAGCATCCTAGACTGCTGTACAATCCAAGTCCCATATAATTGTAAGTACTATTAAACCTCCAGTGACATCAGGCCTTATTTCTCTGACCAGATTTCAATAAATCCCCAGGAATATTATGTCAAATGTCAGAAATTTTATATAATATCCCAAGAATGTCATCTTTGCATTAAATGTTGTTAAAATATTTTTTGTTACTTGGATTTGAACTCTTACACACCGCATGACATTTTGCTCATAATTCTTTCAATGGCTACAATTCCATCCACTGGGGCAATATGGACATTGGGAAAGGTTTTGAAGTTATATTTTGGAGAATTTTAACTCGTCGTGGGCAGTGTGTAAGAACAGATTGCTCTTCTTTTAGTTTTGTATGTTAAATTAACATAAGTTGATATTTGTCATTGGATCAAACAGACACACACTGCCTTCTACCATGTCTACAGTTTTTAAAGCAATAGTTGAGAGCTTGGTTTCATCTATGGATGTTTGATGTCTGACATCACACTCAGCAATATTCCAGCTGTATGACGTTGGCTTAAGATAATCAAGTGATTGATTTTATGAGCAACGATCCACACCATCAGGGTACAATGACACAAATTAATCAACCAAGTCACCGAGCCATGATCAGGTTGGTGTAAGACTGGAATTAAAGCTTCATATTATAAAAGAGAGGGATTATAGAAGTTTTGCGACTACCCCTGTGTTGCGCGATGCCCTTCAGCTGTTATGTTTATTGTGTAGACACCCTAGTAACCATGGTAACAACAGGCATTGAAACACCAATAATTACCTGGTAGTTTGTTGAACAATATTTTCTCTACTTCATGACAAGTCTTAAATTATGGTGACAAGTTGGTATGGACAAACAAACAACTTTCATGCCATTTAAGACGAATTGTTGTTTTCGGATTTATATCTATATGGCATTTCATTGCTACAATTTTGCAGTAAACAGAGTATTGACACTGGTCTTGTCTGTTCTCCAGTGTACATGGTATAGGGGACAACATGTTCACTCTCAACAGTGCAGGCACCATCTGCATTTGGGCAACCTTTATCATCAGGAAGTGGTGAACATAGTCATGTAGATATTCATTAATATCATGTTTTAAACATATTAAATGAAAAGTCATTCCAAAAATTAGAAAAAACACTGATTAGTTTAAGGAAGAGAATTTATGGATGTCATCTTTTTTATAATGATTAACACAAGATTTCGGAGTATATGCTTACTCCTTCATCAGGTGCAGAAATTCTATGAAGCAGAGGACAGACATATGTACCTGTTAGAACAACAAAAGTAATAAGACACTTTTCCATCTGTCTGTGGCTAATCACCTATCAGCGCAAATTAACTAATGACTTCCCTTATTAAGTTTCCACCTTTGTTAACGAGTTACTTTGTTGTTCTTACAGGTACATATATATGTTCTCTACCTCATACATTTATTCACCTGATGGAGGACTAAGTATATACTCAGAAATGTTGTGTTAATCATTATAAAAAAGATGACATCCATAAATTCTCTTCCTTATGCATATCACTTCTAAATGCCATTTTAAGACTAATCAGGTTGCTATGACTACTATGAGATTTATAACCTGCATCAATGGGGATGTACCTGTCATTATCCCCTCTGATGCGAGTTTTAAGGCTCAAGTAAAGGATTTAGACATGTTGTATCATTCACAAAAACACTGCAATCTACCTGCTTGTCTTCTTCTGTTCAGGTTCTTGATTCCTTCATGACTCTGAAGAACAATAATAACAGGGTTGTGTAACTGTTTCACTTTATACATGTCATAGTAACAATGAATGGTAAAATAATAAACTTAAAACACTTGAGAAAAAGTTTTTCAGTGTGTCGCAGAGGCTACATGTAGTTGCCGACCCATGAAGATCCGAGGTAGAATAGGTCTTCAGCAACCCATGCTTGCCGTAAAAAGCGACCATGCTTGTCATAAGAGGGGACAAACGGGATCGGGTGGTCAGACTCGCTGACTTGGTTAATGCATGACATCGATCCCAATTACATGGATCAATGCTCATGTTGTCAATTACTGGATTGTCTGGTCCAGACTCAATTATTTACAGTCTGTCGTCATATAGCTGGAATATTGCTAAGTGAGGCGTTAAACAACAAACAAACATGTAGTTGCCTTGGCTTTATACCTCAAGCCCTGACATGTGAAACATGTTAAGTCAACAATAAACACAAGTAGACTGTAAAGATCACAGTGTAGCTACCCAAAACACAACAGTGCACCTTACACACTGAAAGTATGATTCTTCTTAATCAGTCCTTTGTTCAGGACTTGCTAAAGATTAGAGGAATTAGGTAATGACAGACTGAACTCCACTCCAACCCACCATGACACACCGACTTCTACTCGGAAGATGATGCTGCTAACACTAACATGAACAGTGCCAAATCCTTGACAAAGCATCAGGAGTTTAGGTCATGGAGGCATGTTTAGAATGGTCCTCAAGAGAGTTAGGAGTCAGCTCTACTAGAAGCACTCATAAAATCTCCAACAACATCCTCAAAGACAAGCCCAATGGGACGCAAGTAAGATCGGCAGATGGCTATACAAAATTCAACCCAAGGTCCAACAAAAACCAAACTCATACTCAAATAAAAGGAAAATTAAAATTGCTATCTCACGCCTCAAGACTCGGTCATAAAAAGCACTATGACAAGGTTTGTTCATCTTGCAATCAGGCTGAAACCATTGATCACGTGTTACTAGAATGTCAAGACCATGCCCCAGCCTGGGCTAGGTTAAAACAAGAATTGCAGTTAGATCTGCTATCTGTCATAGATCTCCTAAAGCCAAGAGATGCAATAGCGAAGGCCAAACTAACTCTATTTCTGTGAGATGGACAGCTACTCGAACGTATATAAACAGAGCAGCCAAGGATAAAAATGAAATCATATCAATATAAGAAAATAGAAATCATATCAATACTAAAACAGAAATTATGTGAACACCAAACTCACAATAGATATGTGTACCCTACTCACACACAGGAGTCCCAAAGAGGGACAGGTCAGCCGAAATTGCCTAGGCATAAGGCGACCTCTTAAACACTTAATGCAACAACAACTCAACTCAAAGGCCCAGTAAACTACAGTGCTTATTCAATATTAGACTACCGGTAACAACTAGTCTCTCAATTGTACCTATTTTAGGTAGTTAGTGGTGGGACGATACACTGATGCATCGGTGGATCGCAGTTTTTAACTTCTCGATATAACTATCGATCACAGTCGCACACTAAGTAAAAAATATTGATTCTGACCTTGGATCGCAGTTTTTAACTTCTCGATATAACTATCGATCACAGTCGCACACTAAGTAAAAAATATTGATTCTGACCTTGGATCGCAGTTTTTAACTTCTCGATATAACTATCGATCACAGTCGCACATTAAGTAAAAAATATTTATTCTGACCTTGGATCGCAGTTTTTAACTTCTCGATATAACTATCGATCACAGTCGCACACTAAGTAAAAAATATTGATTCTGACCTTGGATCACAATTTTTAACTTCTCGATATAACTATCGATCATAGTCGCACATTAAGTAAAAAATATTGATTCTGACCTTGGATCACAATTTTTAACTTCTCGATATAACTATCGATCACAGTCGCACATTAAGTAAAAAATATTGATTCTGACCTTGGATCGCAATTTTTAACTTCTCGATATAACTATCGATCACAGTCGCACACTAAGTAAAAAATATTGATTCTGACCTTGGATCGCAATTTTTAATTTCTCGATATAACTATCGATAACAGTCGCACACTAAGTAAAAAATATTGATTCTGACCTTGGATCGCATTTTTTAACTTCTCGATATAAGTATCGATCACAGTCGCATACTCAGTAAAAAATATTGATTCTGACCTTAAATGTTTGCTTTAATAACTGTTCCACTAAACACTTATCAGTAGTGCAAGTTAAAAGTGAAAACATACATATTTTCATTTGTTGTGCCATACTTGACACTGCCAACTGTAAATCATCAGTGTGCCAGGTATTTGCCCATCCTCTCTATGAAAAAGATGGCTAACGCTCCACAGATAAAAGCACATGCATGTATCGTGATACATATCCGATCGTGAGTAAGGTATTGTGATATGTATCGGATCTCGAGCAAGGTATCGTGATATGTATCGGATCGCACAGTTGGTGTATCTTCTCAGCCATATTGACAGTGTAGTACAGCATTGATATGATTGGTTGATAATCCAACTTGTCATTGGAGTATTGCCATCACACTATCTAATATCGTAGGGGATATAAGTGAGTGAGTTGGGTTTAACACCGCTTTTAACAGTATTCCAGTTATATTGCGGCATGTCACCACCGTAACGTTTACTACTTCGCTGAAACCAACGAGCAAGGGTATGTTGCTGACAAACCTAGAAACATAATCGGGGAAAACAGGGATTCAAACCCACAATCATAGGTTTCTGGCATGCCCAAGGGACGCAACTCTGCACAGCGAATCGCGGTGCCTTACACAACAAGGCCACCCAGGCCCCCGTAGGAGATATAAGGTCCACCTGTATGACTGACATGACTATATTTTTGTATATTTTCACCAATGACAAAAAGTTTAAACATATAAAAAACCCACAATATCAATACTCAATTAAACATTTTAATGTCTACCATGTGTTTACCAGCCTGTAAGCATAATAAGTAATAATGGCCAACAAGAAAACAAACAATGTTAGCCCAAATCATGCAAACTGAGTCACAACATGCACAAAGTGTTATTTGAGATTTTAGGCTTAAAAAATAAAAAAATTGGTTCTCAGGCAATGACTTTTGAAAATATAGTTGAGGTGTTTTTGTTTTGGCTTGTTCAAACTAAATTGTTTCCTAGGTATTACTTAGAAGTTGACAGATGACAAAGTAGACAGACACAATTTGTGGATAACAACTTCTTTAGTTACTGTAAAGATGACGTTTTAGTATGGATCCTTATATACCAAAGTGTTGCCTTTACAATAAAAAAAGAAGTTGTTTGCCATAAATTGTGTCTACTTTCTTATTTAAACTAGTATATAACCAAATAAACAGCTGTGTACCATCAACCTACATAAACAAGCATACAAACTCCTAATGCTGCCATAACCATAACATGGTTAACACAAGATGCGCAGTAAAGCAAAAACAAAACGCTGGGCGGTGTCTGAGAACCAAGACTTATTTTTTTAACCTTACTGTGTCTAGTACACAAGACCATCATAATGTACAAAAACAACAAACTTTAAGCTAAAGCATTAAGGAAGCCATGTCTAGTTAGTAAAGAAAAATAATAATTTCAAAACATTACATTCTCATAAAATTTAAAAATGTGCGATAAAAAGGGTTCTAGATCAGTTCTTTTCAAGGACAAAAGCTGATCCAAAATGTCCCAAACATGTGTTTTAAAACTGGTAATGACAAGTGATTCAATAACGAAAACATCCAAACACCATTTATCACAAACTCATCGCTATAATGTATACCCACCTGTGAAGCCCTCGGTGTACTGGTGAATGTCACATACACCTAGCTCGTCAATATCTTACATTCCGAACAACTTGAAATCAATCGATAGAACAGCTGGGAACATATACCAATATATTCCCCAAGTTTATGTTAAGCCTGTGAACACACAGAAAGACTAACCCAAGTCATAAACAAATATGTTAGTGTGTATAGAAGCCCATTCAGCTCATTTGACACGGTTTAAGTGCCCACCTATGTTTATATACTGTGCTAGTTATCAAAGCTAGACTATGTTGATTGCTCAGCTGAAACCTGATTTGAAGATATTGGAAAAGAATGATAATTGATTTGGGGCATATTTGTAGAAGGTATTTTTTACACTTAAAAATCATTATACAATCTGTTATTAGGCTTTAGACTTTTGTTAAATATTTGCATTCCAGTATTGACCCGTGAATGTCTGGGGTAGAATAGGTCTTCAGCAACCCATGCTTGCCGTAAAAGGCAACTAATGGGATCGGGTAGTCAGGCTCGCTGACTTGGTTGATGAATGCCATCGATCCCAATTGCGTGGATCAAAGCTCATGACATTTATCACTGGATTGTCTGGTCCAGACTTGATTATTTGCAGACCGCCGTCATATAGCTGGAATATTGCTGAGTGCGGTGTTGAACAACAAACCAACCAACCATTCCAGTATTGATGAATAGTGTATTGATTAATATATATATTTATCACCTATGATGTATGTATATACTATTCAACAATACAGAATATATACACATTCAAGTACAACATTGTACTACAACTTGTACATGAATAGTAAAACAATGTACATTGTTTGAATGTTCAATTGTTTAATATTATCCTGGAGCATTTGTATCAAATTGTAGCCAAGTTATTTAGTAATTAATGCCATATCTTAAAAAAGAAATCACAATAGCAGATTTAGATGTGGAGTTCCTGGGTTGGCCACACACACTCGCATGCACGCACGCACACCACTTTATTTTTTTTACTAAATCCCACTATGCTAACATGTTTATTTGGTTGTTAAAGTAAAATTGATAACAGTCTTTTTTGTTAGGCTTTTGGGTGGGCTCAGAAATTACAAATGACCCAAGTGGACCACCACCACACACACACACACCTTTTTAAAATCCTGGATCCACCCAAGGTGAATATGGTTTAAACTGCCGGCAGAAATAGTCCATAGGTTATTTTCTAGTTAA